TTTAAATGCGATTTGTCAATCAAATCGTATTTTTTTTGCGCCATGGAAGAGTGGTAAATTTGCGTACGCGTGCAAACGCATTTTTCACGCCAGCCATATGTCCAAGGTCGCCGGAAACGTATTTTTCCGGGGCAGAGTTGGGGACGAGCCCGGAAGCGAGCTGAGAACGATGTTTGCTTTTGTCCTGTCCTTCGGTCCTTGTCGTCCAGCTAGCAAGCTGGCAGTCTGGGTTGGTCGGAGTGTTTACGTCTAGTTTTGGTTTGCAGGACAGCGCTGGGGACATAGGCTGTCCGAAGCAGCCAGACAAACAAATGTGACCCAAAATCCTATGCAAAAACATCATTGCTCGCTGCAGTCAAAGTACGCTTCAAGATTCAATACCAAAAACGAGCGTTGGGGCTGCTGCCCCACCTGATGTCTATAGAGAACACTTGAAAAGCCTTGGCCTTTGATTGTGCTTAGTGGCGTGCCCACAAGGCGAACAATTAGGAAGTTGTGATACTTGCAAGCTTTCTATTTTTGCAAAGTGTTCCAGGGCTGCGTTCCCACGTGGGGACTGGCCCCCAAGGTGCATTTTGGATCCTATTTCTTGAGCCATGGGAAGTGAACAAATAATTCCCAACAGAGCTACAGAGCCTACCTAGGTTAGGCAATCTCAACTGTATACATTGACCCCTGAAATCAATCATAATCAATCCCAATATTGAGCTTGTATAACCCTGAAACTCTGAAACCACCCTATTCTGCAGCTGGTAGGTGTTGCAATCAATGGCGAAACTCATGGGTCTGGGTTTTGCATCTCACAAGTTTCAAGAAATACGGATCACGGGCTCTGGCTGTTCATCAAGTGAGTCTAACATCGTCTAAAATGAACATATTAGATCATATTAGTCACGGCAAAAAAAACACAACAAGCAAAACCTCACAGTGCGTCGGAGAGTACACTTTTTTAAAAACATCACGGTTACGTGGATGGCGCCACCTGTGAAACACAGGTCTTCGGATTTCATGGTCCTTTTTTTTCTGTGCCATCTACGTCACCGGACGATTTCAGGCAGGGACACAGGCAGTTCCATAGAAGCCAAGAGAGGTTGAACAGCCTTAGGGCGCCCACACCATATGTACCACTCCAGGGTCTTAGTTCAGGTCTCTCAACCTCTCTTGGAGATCTAGAAGTTGGGCGTTTTTGCATCCGATCCTGGTCGCCGTGGATGTTGGGAACGGCGCCCTGTTCTCCGCTCACATGGTGAAGTATGAAGCATGCTCCCCAGTCGTTTCATGTCGCTTCACAAAAGGACCAAGAATGGAAGATGGAGGTGCGGCGCCGGAAGACGTGGCCCGGGTCAGCGGGAACTTCCGAACATGCTTAAGACCTACCCAGTCAGTGGATATAGTCTTTAGCCGAACTGGTTTCCCCACTAAGCAAGAACAGATGTGAATGGTCAACTTACCATAAGACCCCAGAACCTTAAAAAAAGACAGTTCTAAAAAATAAACGATGTTTCTTGAGGAAAAACGGTTTTCTTGATTTTGTGCATTTTGAGGGCATGCTGTCTGAAGTACATGGCCAGGCAAACGCACACATCATCCCCTTTTTATTCCTCTCAACTTTGCTATTCATATCTTGATGTGCCCACCTTCCTCCAAACATGGGAACTTGTCATTATAGACATCTTAGACATGGCACCAAGCAAAGCTACTTCAGAGTCCTGCGATCCTTTCTGATTTCTGAAGGAGCGATGCCAGGTTTCAGATGAACACATGTGCCGAAAGAAAGAACAACTGTGTGTTTGTGGTCTGAAAGCAGTCTACAAAAAGCATGTTTCTTTTTCCTTTCACCCCCAGAAACTGAAGTGCTTCAAGATCAATCCGAATTGGCACGTTGCCGGCATCACATGGGAGTGATCAATTCTCCTCATGGACACCTTCAAATGGCATACTCCGGAACCCATAATTTTTTACGGGTTCCCTACGGGTTACTACGGGTTTTTTACGGGTTCCCCACGGGTTAGGAAAAACGTATTTTTTTTTTAAACATGGTTTCTCCAGTATGACCCACGGGTATAGACGGGTTCCCCACGCTTATAGACGGGTTCTCCACGGGAACCTGAAATTTGGATGGTTGGGGGGGTTTCTTGTCATTAAAGTCCGTTCGACAACCTGCGGAAAACACAAGATGTTTGGAGACCTATTTTTTTTTGAGAGTGTTACTTTCAAGACATTGATACCCAAATCACACGCTGAAGGGCACAATCTACAATCTGGGCTTTGTGTTCGAATGGGCACCAACCAACTGCCTCAACACGGATTTGCTACCCTACCCCCTCATTCTTTACAAGTGGTCCATGCGCGGGCACTGCTCAAAAGGACATGTTCAACAAGAAGACTCAAGTTCAGGAGGGTTTGGGGGTGACACCGGCCCATGCTGGTGGTATAAAATAGTCCATGAGCCAAACAAGTCTGAGATCAAAAACAACATAAGCCATGGCAAGCCATTCTTCTTCACGAATCAGCTCCCATTTGGAGGTGTTTCGGGGAAAAACGAGTTTTTCCAGGATAAACAATTTTTACTGCCAATGCCACTGGAGAAGCGATGTTTCGCTCCAGACATGACAAATAAGTAGTGTTTCGGGTCTATAGGTATGTTAACCTAATTTATGTTCGGAATAAGTATGTCACACAGCCTGCCAGGTCAAGAACACCTTCATCAACCTTTCCGAGTCGAAGGTAGATGCAACTCGGCGCCCAACGGACGATACCTTTCGAAAGATATTATACCTAGATCTTCCATTGTAGCACATATTTGTGCTCGTTTTTTTTTGGTGATCGTTTTTGCTAGATTTGCTCGTTTGAATATGCATTTAAAAAACATATACGTTAAAAACCCTTTGGTTCCTTAGATTTGGTATATTTGGTCAACATGAGCCATGCATCTATAGCACATGTATGCACAAACCCACTTGCACACACACCGACAAACACTACTTTCTCCTCTCCACCTTCGCACGAGATCATCTTCGATCTGTCTGGATCAGCTACTTGACCGCACAGGCGCCAGTTGTTCAAGCGCCCTTTTCCATTCAACATGGTAAGCCACAAGGCACCGGTTTATTGTTGAATGGGCCAAATGACTAGAGTGAACCCGCCTCTCAACCCGAGCCACGCGCCCTATGTAATCTTCGTCTGACCACGTGGCCAGGCCTCAACAAAACAAAAAAGATCTTGCTTATTGATTTCTATCACTCACTATGCATGTGAGCTGGGGCATAGACTTGCTGGATTCAGAATATGCGCCGCTTGGCGCCCAAGTTGGTATTCCATGTCACGACTCAGTTGCCAAGCGCAAGTGTGAGCATGAATGCTTAAAAGAACAACACCCTCAGAAGGTTCAGGCATGGCACATGAGGTGACAGATCATATGCGCCTTTGGACGCAAATACCACAGATTCCAACCATTAATTGCACTTAGTCTGGCACAACCCCCGTAGCTCTCCTTGGGACACTACACACGTACCGCATGTATGGAACGTGCTTGTCCACGCATTCTCTTAATTAAGAACAAACAGCCACCAGTGGAACAACTAGTTAGTGCAAAGCAGTGGCCATCATTTGCCACCCATTCACAACTGCTTCACTGGCTTCGGGTGCACTGAGCCACAGCTTTCCGTTATATATCGAGTGGAAAAACTTGTTTGCTGAAGACATCCCCCAGGTCAGGACCTTCAGGATATCTCGGCAATTCTCCTCAGGTGTCACGTGACGGGTTTGGGTTCCAGGCTGCTAGACTTTCAATGTTGACTTTTAGAAACTTAGAAACCATTTCCTATGCATAGGATGCTGCAACTGGGACAAGTATCTGGGACACTGTCAGGGGAGATAGTGGGCAGCAACTCCGCAAGCCACTTTCCCAGCAAAGAGGCATCGAAACCCTTGCCGAGGCCTTTGGGGAACATCTTCAACCTGATAAGCGTTGGAAAGACCGTGCATATTATAAGCTACTTGGCTAAAGCAAGTGATTCAACAGCTGTTCTAGGTTCCAACATATTCTCATAAAATCGAGGGACGACTTCACCTTCATGGTTTGGTAGGAGAAGTCCGTCAGTGAGGTTGTTTTACCATTACGGACGCAGTAGGCCTTGAAACTATCAAATGCACGGTCAAGTTGAGTTGCAATCACGGCGGCGCCCCAGTACTGGCAATGGATTGCCAAAAAACATATTGCGGAGGCACAGTCATCCTTGCCGTAGCCTTGTATGGCATGAGTGTGTGCCACATCTATCAAAATCTTTTTGACGGTATCCCCTTGAGGGATCTTGCGTAGAGGGCTCACAATTCCTACTTTGAAGGGGCTGGGAGTTCTGCAATCCTCCGGCAATGTCCTGATAGCTGATCTATTGGATAGGTCCCACCATTCCTGGGCGTGCATGGCATTGCATGAGTTTTGGGGTGAGTTGCTCTCATGGGTCCATTTGCAAGGCTACAGCAAAGGCACAGGAATTGCACACCTATGGCACTTCCTCTTCGAGGTAAATCCTGTGGATAGCTTATACGCGGATCGGAGCCACGGCCAGTCCCCCTTGGTTCCCAAAAACTGGAACCAAAACCTCTCAGTGATGCCATTGTACTTGACCTGGCGGCTGGCACAAAGCATGGCATATGTGTGGCAGGGGAGTTGATACATCGTAAACAAAAGCATGTGCTGATAAGGGGCTTCTATTCCATTTGCATGTAGGGCAGTGACATCTTGGACAAGGCTTTCCAGTAGGCCGTCGAGAGTAGCCCCCTTGGGGGCGTAACGTTCCGATGGTAGGATTGTGTAGAGCAGTCTCGTAGTAAAGGTGTGCCTAAGAAGCTGTGCAAAAGTGAACAGGCATGTGATTGGTATGGGGCCCGCATACTATAAACAGCACATAGGTCAAAATGGTAAGGCTAGCTGTGACTGACCAAGGTTCTTCTTCGAGTTGATGTGTTCCTCACCCATCCAGCCTATTACCGGTTGAAAACTGCAGATCAATACTGGACGCTTGCATTGGCCCCGGCCTTCGTCACCATGCAACATCCATGGTATTGTTCTACTTGGCTCAGCAACATCCACATCTTGTACGTGTTGGTACCGCTGCCAAAACCTTTCTAGCATGTTGTGTATATCCTTCAAGTTGTCATTGGTCAGCGTATGCCCCCCGAGTAGGAACATACCACCATAGTGCTCAAAGCATGCCTTGACCCAATCCGAAAGCTGCAAAACCGGCCAAGGCTTCTGAAGCACCTTCCGGCTGGCAATTTTGACAGGCACCACCACTGCTTTGATGTCGATTGGGATGGTGTGGCCTTTGCGGGAAATGAGCCGGTACAAGTTGCGACTTGCATTCTTCTGATACGTCTTGGAGCGCCCAAGGGCTGCTGTACTAGCAATCTCTTGATCATATATTCCTTAGCTTTTTACGATCTGCAAATCACCACTCTAGAATGCATTCCATGAATTCCATAAAAATACTGATCGATGATCGATGAGAGATTCCGTGCCGGGCCAACAGCTTTCCAGTTTTGCGAGCTCGTCCACAAACATCGATAGCAGATGCCTGGCCCACAATAAATTGATCCAACTATACCCCCAACCACGGTACAATCGTACGAATGGTCGTGCATGCACAGCCGGAAACATGTGATGAGGCACCCCTTTGGCAAAGCTCCTGAACAGGTCTTTGTCCACTTCGTCGGAGCTTTGGTCGGATCCAGAACCTGAGGGTGTTCGCAGGTAGGAAACAACACCATGGGTCTTGGACTGTGGGGTCACAAGTGCGTGCAACTTGAGGGTGGCACTGATGCCGCCCTTGGACTTGGGAGAAGCAAAGGATAGAGATCTATGACCTGGCACATGGCTACGCACAGGCAAGTTGAGTGAAATTGAGCACCATTGTTTTGAACACCCTCAAACTTTGGAGAGACTGGGAAGATGACATCAACTTGCAGCAGACTTTTTAACATCCCAGCAGACTTCAACGTATAAGCTCATACAGTGGGATCCCGAGAGCAAATACCTAGGAATAGAATTGAACAGCCGATGCATCCCCAAGCAGCGAAAATAGATCGCTACCTTTCGCATCGCTGAAATATATATAGTACTGCCAATCATTGCGCCATTCTCAATGGCCCAGGGCAATCTAACAGAAGAGCTTACTCAGTAGAGTCAGGCTTTGCCTTCCCCTTAGACTCGGACTTTGACTTCCGGGACTTTGCACTCGATGCTTTCGGCTTGGGTGCACTTTTGGCCTTGGCCTTTGCCCTCTCAGTACTGGGAGGTGTCTTCGTCGTTGCCGGCGACTTGATGCTCCTCAGCAAAGCCATGATGCAAAGCAGGCATATCAGGGGGGGTTGGTTGCGGCTTCACATTGCCAATGCTAACTAGATACCTGGAGCGAGTGAGCATACCATTCATGGCCACATCCAGCTTTGTGCATTGGACGAACAACCGTTGGATTTGGTCTCGCTTCTCCCTTAGATATCGATTTTTCACACCGCTTTAATTTGTTTGGTGCACACGTTGAACAATGGAACACACACGCTACATGCATGCACATAAAATTCAAAGGGGCTTGTCCATGGTTTCAGGGCTTACGGTGGCCTCGGAGAGCTTGTCGGTCAAAGAGTTGTAGGCACCATCCATTTCCTTGAGCAATGTCTGAATTTGCCCCACCAGCCTAGAATTGCAAATCGGACGGGCAATAACATGCAAAGTGGAGTGGGAAATGGTGGTCATGGACAGGCTTCATGATCGCTTCCAAGAAACCCTTTGGCTTGAGTGGTCTGGATGGATGTGATACGGTCCTGCAATTCCAGATGTGCACGTTGACCTTTTGACTAGCTAACACATTTAACATGCACTGTTGGCTAGATATCCCCCCCCCCAAAAAAAGCAGGGCTGTCCAGCTCTGCTCGGATCTTGTCCAATTTTCGACCCAGAACATCGATAAACTGCGGCAAGATCGATACAGCACTGGTGTTGGCTGTAACTGCTGGGAAGGTCATCCTCAGAGCAAGTTGAAATACTGCAGCTTTTAACAAACAATTTATAATTGGCAAGGTGATCATGCAGCAAAACATGATCCAACACTGACAAGGAACTTGAATGTCATCACGTTTTGCACGGACCCCATTGCATCTTCAGGATTACCTGACCCAGAAGCACCTCCAGTCTCTTGACCAATCTCTGGCAGGTCACTCACCAAAAGCGAGCCCTCCTGATCCTGGTGACGGATGAGGCTGCAGGGCACCGGCGGAAAGGACAGCTATGTATGTGGCATGGTGTGTATGTGCACACATGTGCATATATAACCCCCTCCTCCACCTCGAAAGACCCAGTACGGTTAACTTCTTCCAGATCAGTGTTCTCAAGTTGGAAGGTCTCCGTGAGGACAAGGCGGACTTCCTCCTCCCCATGTACTTCATTGACCCTCACAGCGCCATTTTTCCTGCCCCACTCAAACGCACGATCCACCATTTTCCTGGGCAGGTCAATGATATATACATAGATATACAGTATATATATATGATGGAAATCTCTTACAACTACTCAAAATATTAACGATAAGTCTCTTGGTCCACCCGGCGACGTTCTCAAGGTAAGCTCTGGTGTACCAACCTCCATCAACCTTCTTACGGTCGGCTTTCAAGGATTTCTTCGAAACCTGCACCTCCAGCTGACCAAAGGATCCATGTTCTCGGAACATTTTGCGCAGCTCCTGACCTTGGCAAATTCATTAATTGCTATTTCACTTGGCTAGACTTTGGGTAAAATGCTGTCTAAAAACGTCCCTCGTCCGTTCTCCACATCGCCAACGCTTTCTCTGAGCACTGGAATGTCCCTCGCTTGGGCTTGAAGTATCGACGAAGCCTAGGCACGAAACAATGAAGCCGTGCACGAATCTATATCATTCGAGCTAGAGCATGTCACCCAACAGAGTTGGCATGGGCTTGTTGAAACAAACACACATGCATGCAGTCTTATTTACATACACGCATAAGCCTAGGAGCTTGAAGTACCCTGGTGACTGAGGTCTCCGGCCAGTCTCTGGAATCACTGAAGGGGTTGGTGTCCCTGGACATGGAATCTCCTCTTCACGTGTGGGCTCAGGTAGGGGCTCAGGTGTGGGTGCAGGGAACGTGGCTTCAGGTGTGGGCGTCGGCTTGGGTTGTGGCGTGGACAAAACAGTGGGTGAAGGAGAAGGGGGGCACAGGCGGAAGGGCCAGGGAGTTCTCCCGTGGATGGGAATCTCCATAGCCTTCAGGCAGTTGAGAATCATTGCCAACTTACCTGAGCTGTCATCGACCACCACAGGTCCTGAGCTCACCTGATCGGTCCCCGGCGTTTCATAAAGCGCTGTCGGTTGAGAATCCAACAGTGTGCTCTCTTCAGCCAAGCCAGCACAGAACTCACCACCACGTTGAGCGGTATGAGGTGCTCCTAAGCGGTTTTAGAATTGTTATAGTATGCGATAGTATGCGCACGCGCATGCGTGTCTACGACAGTAACTGCATACTCTTACCAGCCTGGAACTGTCGTTTGTGGTGCAAGTTCTGATGGTTGGTTTGAAAGCTTGCGGCGCAAGGCCTCAACACGCTGCTTCTTTGCCTCAGCCAGCTAGCATGAAATAGCTATATATATATATTGTTTTATGCATGATGTAAAGTGTAAGACGTGCAAAGCTTGCCATATAACATGCACACCGATTTGCTAGAATCAGCTCTTCCAATTCCCGCTTCCGTGAGGCGTTGGATCCATCTCCAAACTTTACAGCCATGGTTCCGGCAACAAGCGTGCTGGAAGAGTGCAGTCTTTCCATATTTTCCAAATCAAAGCCAAGAATGCTAAGCAGAAAGGATACACAAGACTACAACTGCAAAATCTGTGCGTGGCATCAAGTGAGAATCCAAAATCTGCTCAACCCAAAATCACACTTTTCAGGTATGCGGGTGTTTGCGTGAATATGCGCGCGTATGCGCGAATATGCGCTCGGTATGCGCATCCCGATTTCTACTCAACCCCAACGAATTTGAATTTCTGTCATCAAAGCTAGTGCAAAGTGCAAAAAGTGTGCGGGCAATCCCGCACGATCCAGGCTCTGATCTATATAGATCAGTCTGCAAGTTGCGCTCGAAGTCCGGGATCTCCAAGAGCCTGCCAAATTCTGCAGAACGTTCTATAAATAATACCTGCCTGGATTGACATACTGGCCTCAGACTGGTACTCTAGGACAAAGCTTCTCATGGTGCTCTCCCATTGCACGCTAGGATACCTACAGGGACCGGTGTTGTGAACCCACTGCAGTAGCTATAGCCTTTAACAATCCCGAAGACAACACTGTGATGGTTTCCTAACAACCAGGGACCAGCCTCACTTTCTTGGACTGGAACAAGTAAAGCAGTGGATCCAATAAGTTTGCATCCTCCCACTGGTCTCCCATGGGCAATTGCTCAAACTGAGCCCGGTCATCGAGAAGTCCCCCAATCTGCGGTTTGTACCGCAGGTCGCGGCGATCAGAAGATTCATGCAGATGCTCTTCATAGAGCTTCTGAAGGCTCCGGGCAAAGCCTACAGTGTATGTCCTGAGAAGTATTGTTCAATTCCCATGCCCCGGGTCCGTGTACTGCTGCCAAACAAGTATGGGATCTTGGTATACAAGCCAAGTAACTGTGATGCTTTGAGACCACGTGTTCCCTGAAACTTACGGACTCCAGCTTTGTTGGTATATTTTCCTGGGCGGTGATTTCAATGATTTTGCTAGCTCGCACCAAATGCTGGCATGCATATATACAATTAAGTCTAGCATCGGGTGGTGAGTCCAGTGGTCCTACGTTCCCTCTCCTCTTTACGGAGGGCTCCAAGGTGAAGTCGTTGAACTTCCTTCATGTTGGAATAGCAGACCGTAGGTTTTGGTGTCCCTGAACCATGAAGCATCATCCAGAAGCAGCAGTGATAAACCTAAGTTCGCCGTGTTTGCAATTTGAGTGGCCTAGAACGCTATGTAAATCACATGGTACAACAGCTGTAAACACACTGCATGTTGATCAACAGCTGATTAGTTCATGATTTCCTTGATGATGCATGGACCCACCATGACCCACCCCTTTCCACGGTTTGATTCCCAAACCAACCCGCAACAGGTGAAGGATGGTGAAGGGCAAATTCCACAGATGCAGGCATAACCTCGCGGGACGGCGTATACGGAGAGGGAGTAGTTCTAGTCATGCCTAGCTGCAGTTGCCACGTGGTTCACAAACCACTCGAACCGCCGATGGCGGACAAGCAAAGAATTACGTGGTTGCTCCAGTACCCACACCAAATTCTTGCTCATCATGTAAAGCAGTACCAGAACAAGCCTCGGTTGCATATGATGTATAGATGATAAGTACAGAGAGGCTTGATGTTCAATAACATGCGGCATATGAATGCCTAGAGGTGTATGGCAAGAAACCTTGAAATCATCACGTTGGCTCCCCTTATCCATGGTAGAAAAAGATTTCCAGCCACATTTACAAAGTTCCGCCAACTAGTTCCTCGCGATGGAATCCCCCCAGCTCGAGCAGTCAGGGGCCAAATGCCCCAGTGCATTGCAATCCATTTGCATCACAGTCCACAAGATCAGCCTGGGACGGATTTTTTTGCCGGGTTTCGACGATAGCGGTGTGCACTACGGATATATATATATATACATTGAGAACCCCTACAATGAACCCCATAGTCAAGCAACAAGAATCCTGGAGAAGAGTTGAACTCCATAGCGCTCGGATGCAGGTCCCTGTCATATGATGCGCATCTGTACCCAGCATCATGCCTAGGAACATCGGGCGACATTTATATCGGCGCTACCAGCAACATGCATGGCTTGTGCATGACCCTGGGGATGGGACATGGTCCGGGTCAATGCTTGCTTTCCGCTAAAGACCTCCATGAAATCGAAGGGAGTGCTCGGTATATCCATCCAACCGAGCATCAACACCTGCATGGGATCCACACTTTGGGTTTTGAAGGGCATACATGGGAGCTGTATGCATCGCTACAAGCGACAAGGTCCCGGCCAGTGCTATCAGGACCTCAAAGCTATACAGGCATGACTTCAACAAATATAGTTCATTCTGTCTGTATGGCTCAGGCCTTTGGAGCCTGCACATGCTGCAGGTTGAACACTGGGGAATAAGCCATGGCTTTCTCAAAGCCACGACGGACAACAGAGCCCAAATCCCTCCAAGAGCATGGTACCAAAATGCAATGCAGTTCATGCCACACAGACACTAAAGACCTGCGTGCAACAAAATTAAAACACGCCAGTTGGAACCTGCTCTCCAGG